CATCGTTTGAAGGAAATCATGGCACAGGACTCAGCCCAGAATGGACTTTTGTCTGGGTCGACATGTAAGCATTTCTTTGCTAAATCGCACAATTTCAGAGAGTTTAGGATAGCTTCTTTTCAAGAGATTGTGTTTCCTTGATTTCAGGCAATTGCACTCCGGCAAAAGCAGGATTTTTATGAAACAGCTCCCTGTGCCTTTGGATTAAATCCCCTGAACACGTCATAATATGATAGAGCTGGTCAATATTAGAGTCTCCAGGAAACAGGGGCTTGCAGTTACCAGACAACCAACGGCCCAGACATCAACAGTCTTGCTATACTTGACATCTCTAACCAGTAGCTCTGGTATTGTGACTGTGTCCAAATCCGATTCTAATAACCTGAAATAAATGCTTTTGGATTTCTTGGTAGTCTAGTCCATTTGGAAAGTGTTTCAAGTCATCAAGAATTGTGAGGGAAGGGCTGGGAATTTAGCGCAGTGGTTCCAACGCAAGGTCCCGAGTTTGATCCCCAGTACCAAAAAAAAGAATTATGAGGGAGGCCACGTATGCAGTTCAGTGGTGCTGTGCCTGTCTGGCAAGTGCAAGGTGCTGAGTTTGATCCTCGTACTGAAAAATAATTGTGAGGGAAACAAATTCAAAACCTAACTAAGTACCAACTGTTTGGGGTTTTTTCTTATGCACTTCCAACAGATTCACCAAATTTTGGTGGGGGGTGGTTGTAGTTCTTCCCAGGGATCAAACTCAAGCCCTTCTGCTTTTGAGGCAGGAGGCGTAACCACTGAGCTAAATTCCCGGCCCTCCCATAGCATTTTCAAAATCCGATTTGTCATCACTTTCTAAGAAATTGTCCACCACAATTCTTTGGGTCTTTATTCCTATACTTCGCCACCGTTCCCTAACTCCCTCGTCCAACCAATCCCAGGCTGTCAGGTCTTTCCATTTTAATTTAAAAGCAGCAGGAATTTAGGTTGGGTTTCCTCAAATCCTCTAGCCTGGAAGGATCTGAAGATTCCCAACTCCCGGCAGCAAATGCGGATTGACTTGGGTGTGCCCTGGGGCAGAGGGTCCCATCCCCTCCGGCCAGCCTGTGAGATGTCCTGGGGGACCGCAGGGCACTGGCTGCTGTAGCCACAGCAACCACCACTTCCTGGACGCCAGCGGGTGAGAAGACCTAGCAGCTTTTGACCTTAAACTGTTCTGCAGGCTCTTGCTGAGGCAGAACAAGAGGACTGTTTGTGCCCAGAAGGGCCAGATTCGACTTTCCCTCCTTTTACCTCACCACTGTCCTCCCACGACGTCGGCTCCTGGCAACTCGGGCCTATGACCCTGAACAGTGGGACATTCTCAACATGGCCTAGTTTTGTAAAGCGGGGTGGGAAATGGCTCCAACCCACAAGAACTGGACTCTGCTGGGGTTTCAGAAGCCAAATTGGAGATACACTCAGCAAGCAGAAAGTGTCTTTCTTCCAGGCCACTCTTGAGGCAGCTCGGACCTGAGCGTGGATCCTGGGGACTGGGGGAGCAGGCCCTGGACGCTGTCTCCTCCCTTCCCTGTCCTCCCACACTTTGCCTCAGAGGACCCCGCCACCTCAGCAGACAGTAGCCCCAATGTCATGAGCCATCCCGAGGATTCAATGACAGATTTTGCTTAGCTTCCCAGTGATGAGCCTGGCACAGAGTAGGCCTTCCGTACATAGTGGTACACACCGGGGGCAAAACAAAACAAAATCCACCTGATATGAAGGAGGAGAGAGGAAGAAAGAGAAGTCTGAACTGTGTGACCTTTGTCAAGTTCCTTCCTCTTTCTGGGTCCTCTGTCTCTGCATAATCTCTGCATCATCTTTTTTTTTTTTTTTTTTTTTGGTACCAGGGATCAAACTCAGGTCCTTGCACTTTCAAGGCAGGTCACCGAGCCACTGAGCTAAATCCCCGGCCCTCTGCATAATCTCTGAAGATCTGCCTGTGTTTCCACCATCAGAAGGTAGAGGAATCAAGCGCTTTCCTGTGTTTTCCAATTTCCTCATGGTAAATCTGAGAGGCAGCAGGGGTAGGGAGGCAGCAGTAACGGCTCAGACGGATGGTCAGACAGATCCAGGTTCACAGCCTGACTGGGCCCAGCTCCTTAACCCGACTGGGTGAGGGTGTTCAAGCTCCTCAGTCTGCCCAGGCCCAAGGGCGTCCCAGGACGCACACTCGGTAAAATCAGGAGGTCCCAGGCTGGCCAGGATGAACTAACAAAGCTCCCTGTTTCAGGGGGGGTCCTCCCCAGAATATGAGTCCAGGATGGCAGGGACTTCTGTCTTCTCCATGGCTCTGTTTACAGGTCCTAGGATAGTGGTTGGCCCCATAGCAGGGATTCGATGGAGGGATGTGTGGGTGGGTGGATGGATGGAGTTCTTAAAGAGATCAAAAGAGAAAATACTTACAAGTGCTTGGGACCTCACACATGACAATAGTGAGAGTCACTGAGTTCAGTTTGCAGATGAAGATCTGAGGCTCACAGAGGACAAGATCAACTATTCAAGGTCATGAAGGTTAGAGGAAGAGCTGGTGTGGGAACCCAGGTCTGCTTTTCCCAGAGCTACACTTTTCCCATTCTCACACAACCCATGAAATTCAGCAAAGGACGGAGAAAAAGAAAAGTTGCTGGCTTTATAATAGTGATGTTTGAGCTGGAAGAAGAGCAGCATTTGAAAATGCCGAGGAGGCACCTAGATTAGAAAAAGTGACTTAGGAGCTAGGGGTTTAGCTCAGCGGTTCCAGAGACTGCCTCGCAAGCGCAGAGACCTGAGTTCGATCTCTGGTACAAAAAAAAAAAAAAAAGAAAGAAAAAATCTTCAAAGATGAGCTAGACGTCCTTCTGAGAGTGGGAAAACAGGTCCAGAGAAGAGGAGCAACCAAGCTAAAGAAATTAGGTTTCAATAAAGGGCTTATTCTGTGGAAGGCAGAGAAGAGAACTAACACTGTGGGGAGAGTGATAGTAGCAGCTATTATTTTCAGCTCCTCATTTATGTCAGTCATTGTACTAAGTAAGCACTTTTGAACATCATCTGATGTAATCTTCCCATGGAAAACTCTGTGTGTGTGTGTGTGTGTGTGTGTGTGTGTGTGTGGTGGTTGTGTGTGTGTGTGTGTGTGTGTGTGTGTGTGTGTGGTGCTGTAGTTTTAATCTAGGGCCTTCACACTTTATTTCACAACATGATTTCTTGCTAAGTTGCTATGCTGCTTGCTCAGGATGGGCTTGGACTTGGAAATCCTCCTGCCTCAGCCTCCCACAGTGCTGAGATTATGAACATGTACCAAGATGCCTGGCTAGAGGATACTTTTATGCCCACTTTGCAGCTGAGGTAACTGAGGCTCAGATAAGCGAAGGTCACATGCCAGAACACCCACTTGGTGAGAAGCAGAGTCCAGGCCAGCCTGATCCCTGATCACTGAGCCGGCAAGTCACGTGATCAGAGCAACCCAAAGCCCAACGGGTAAAGAAAAGCAGCCAATGTTTCAGCAGTTCCAAAAACCTAAAATCCATGGGAATTTTTAGTGTGACCGTGGGAATAGAACTGAAAAGGAAAACTAGTCCTAAGTTAATTCTCTTTTGAAGAGAACACATACTATATGAAACAAATGTGATACTGACGATCTAGCAACTGTGTGTATCAAAACGCAATATAAATGCATTAGATTTTCATGAGAAGCAGGAGCCAGATTGTAAGCTCTAACAGACCTAGCCTCAGGTAAAATCACTCACGCGTGTAGCTAATGAACCTCCCAACCTGCGTATACACAGCTTGGTTATTAAGCCAACCATTTTTTTGTTGCTGATGTTTTCATTAATGTTGTATTTCTTTTTTTAACAGTGAATGCAATTTATTGATGTTATATTTCTTCCGTTTTATGCCCATTCCTTCAAGCATGCATGCTTTGAGTATCCATCCAAAAATATGAAGCACTGGGGTCGTTACAGTGCAGGCACACACATGCATGCCTATTCATGATTGTAACATACATGATTGTGGAGGGAGAGGAGACGCTACTTATCTGGGTCCCCATAACTTGCTGCGTGCGTGGAGATGGCAGTACAGATCCCCTGCAACCCCTCAGCTGCTGTAGGGGACAGGGACCACTGTTACCCTCACTCTGCAGCCAGGGACTGAGGTTCCGGGAGGAAAAGTCACTCACCCAAGATCACTCCACCAGTGCGGGACAGCATTTGGATCTGACCCACTTCTTGCTGAGCTCCCTGACTCACACCCTAGCAAAATGTGGGCTGCTGCAATCAGCCGGCACTTGGCGCTTTTCTGCTTCTCTTTCAGGCTTGTCTCTGTTTGCTGATAACCTCTCCTGTACCCCAGAAAGCAATCGGAGGGAGCTTATGCCTCCGGCTGGTAGCTACATAGCAAAATAATACAAAAGATTTGTCCTAAGACAATGAAAAAGTCACAGGTGAAGCATAAGAATGAGAAACAGAAATCAGCTCTTTCAGGTGAACCACAGCACTACATTTTATGGGTTAGTATTTTCGGAGTTTAACTGTGTGCGTGGGGCGGGGATGACTGGGTACTGAACCCAAGGCTTTCCCACTGATTTACCCCTCCAGCCCTTTTTACTTTTTATTTTGAGACAGGTCTTGCTAAATCACTAAGTTGCCCAGGTTGGGGGTGCAACTTGTGATCATCCTGCCTCAGCCTCCTAGGGTGCTAAACCTAATCCTATCCCTAACCCTCACCCTAAGTGCCGGGACCACCATGCTTGGCAGTTAGCTTTAAAGTAGAATAGAGGCTCTAAGAGCTCCAGACCTAGGCTACTCCCTCCACCTCCCCAAATGACCCCTGACCGAGTTCTTGCCTGGTGCCCAGCTCCTTGCTGAGCACTTTCTATTCATCACCTCTTCTGAGTCTTGGATTCACCCAGCAAGAGGTGAGATAAGATCTCCATGTTGCCAAGAAGAAACTGAGGCCCTCTGTCCTGCCGCAGTCAGGGTGCACCTGACACTCACCCCACGCACCGGACTTCTGGAGAATCAAGGCGGCTGCTGGGGACCCGGGGTCCTATTTCTGGAGGGAGGCTCCTGGTTCTGGGGAGTCTTGTCTTCTGCCCTCTGCCTGTCTGCTGGGTCTGAGCACAAGGTCAAAGTCTGCAGTGGTGGACAGGGTACAGTGCAATGGGTGGAGCTCGGCAGTGCTGCTCCCAGGGTCTGGACTCAGCCCCAGCCACCGGGAGACTTTGTCTTTCTTGCTGTCACTGAGAACTGCCTGACTTTTCTGGCTCATCCCAAACCCCTGTGCACAGGCCAGGGGGAGGGAGGCAGGGACAGCCGGCAGGTGGGCGGGATTCTTGGAGAGCTGATGGGCACAAGGAGGTCAGTCTCCCCGGCCAGCTGGAGACCGTCCTCTACTTCCCACTTTCCACTGGCAGAGGGAGGGTCGTTCCCTGGGCCACGGTGGGCCTGGCCTGCAGGGTTGGGGGTGTCGACTGCAGTCCCCAAGTGGACACCAGGGGCACAGGATGGGGGCTTGCAGGCTGCCCAGCCTGCCCACTGCCGTTCTGGGACACTAGACAGATGAGAGACTTGAGGAGATGCCCGTTGGGGCTGGGAGGATGTGTGGCTCTTTGCTCCCGTATCCCAGAGACGCAAACGGCAGTGCTCCAGAGCCTTCCTCTGCCAGGGTCAGACCTGGATTGGGGACTGGTAGAGGCCAAAGCTCATCAAGCATCTTTGTATACAGGTGGAAGACAGGCCCAGAGTAGGACCAATAGCTCAGGGGGAGGTACCAGCAAGGCAGCTTCGGTGGTCCAGCCTCCACCACCCTCCCTCAATAGAAGGGCAGAGGTGGAAGAAAAACGGACGCAAGATAATCAGTGCTTAGTAGTTTTTCCTCTCCCCTCCCTCCCTTCCTTGCTTGCTGCTCCCTTCCTCTTTTCTCCTCTCTTTTCCTTTGCTTTCTCTCTTTCTCTTTCTTTCTCTCAATCTCTCTTTCACCCTCTCCCTCTCTCTCTTTCTTTCTTTTTTGCAGTTCTAGAAGTTGAACCCAGGGCTCTCACCATGCTACACAAGGGTTCCACCGCTGAACGGCACCCCCCGAGCAATTATTTTTAAACTTTGAATTAGTTATTTTAAAATTTTGCAACAGGGCCTCACTAAGTTCCCCAGGCTGGCCTTGAACTTATGATCCTTCTGCCTCAGCCTTCCGAGGAGCTGAGTTGAAAGGAGTGCACCACCATATCTGGTTCATTTCCCATCAACAACAAAAAGTAGAGGGGTTGAATCGCGCCTATTGCACTGTATCCTAAGTCACTGGGATTTTTTACGATAGTATGTAGCACCTTTATTATCATACAGTCCTAGTGAGGTTCCTTCTGCCTCTAGTTCATCATGGAGCGCAAAAGTTCACCAAAATTAGCTGTAGTTTCATGTTCCTCCACTCCCTTCCTAGTAGTGATTTCTATTTTGTGAATTGTGATGTACCGCTTCTACCTACCTGACCTGAATTTAGATCAAAACAACCCCTTAAGGTAGGTGCTGTCATTATCATCCCCACTTCGCAGCTGAAATTCAAAAATTCATTCATAGCATCCGGTAAAACCAAACAGAATCCTATCCTAAGACCAGTGTCCCAAAGGGCCGGAGATGTAACTTAGAGGTCTTGGCCCTGATGGGCAAGGACAGGGTCTTGAGTTCAATTCCCAGTGCCTATTAAAAAAAGAAAGACCCAGTGTCCCTGAGGACACATCAGTCAGAAGGCTGGTACCAGAGTGATCCTAGTGGCTGGACGTGATGGCTCAGCTACTCTGGAGACCGGGCCAGGAGGATGGCAAGTTTGAGGCAAGCCTGGGAACATAGTGAGAACTTGTCTCAAAACAATATCGGAGGAATGAGGATATAACTCAGCTTGCCTAGCATCCATAAGGTCCTACATCCAGCCCCTAGTACTAAAAAAAATAATTCTGGCCCCAAAATGGAAACAAGACAGTCTATCGGCTGCAGTGGAGGAACTGATGTTTTCAAATAATCACACATTGGAACTTTATACAGTAAGGAAAGCGAGAAATACAGCCACATAAAACAATCTGAATGAATCTCAGTCTTGTGTGGACCAGAGAAGCTGGACACACAATAGCTGAGGCTGCATGCTTCTGGGTTTTTCTGTTGTTGTTTTTTTTTTGTTTGTTTTTGTTTTTTTGAGACAGTCTCACCATGTAGTTGAGACTGACCTGGAACTCACTATGTAGCCCAGGCTGGTCTCAAACTTACAAGGATCCTCCTGCCTCAGCCTCCTGAGTGCTGGGATTACAGGTGTAATAATAATAATAACAATAATTATTATTATTATTGTTATTATTATTATTATACCTAGAATCAGATCAAACTCAGGACCTTGCACTTGCCAGGCAGGCACTGTCAGTATTATTATTTAATTCAGGAAAATAAGATTAGGAGAAACCTATTGTTTTGTTTGTTTGGCACCAGGGATTGAATTCCGGACCTTGTACTTGCAAGGCAGGCGGTGGAACCACTGAGCTAAATCCCCAGCCCGTTTGTTTGTTTTTTGAGACAGTCTCACTATGTAGTTCAGGGTGGCCTTGAACTCATTATGTAGTCCTCACTGGCCTTGAACTTGCTACAATCTTCCTGCCTCAGCCTACTGAATACTAGAATTACAGGTGTGTGCGACCACAGGCAGCAGCACCTTATGATACAAACACATGTCTGTAATCCTAGGCAGGAAGATCCGAAGTTTGAGGCTAGCCTGGGTTAGTAAGCAAGACACTGTCTTCGAAAACAAAAACAAAACAAAACTGCAGAAAGTAAAATTCCACAGAATCTTCTTGGCCTTGGCATAAGGAAAAGATATCCCTCAGAAAGGATGTGAGATTTGTTAACTTTATCAGGAAGCATAATTTTAAAAAGAAAAAATAGAACCCACCAGTTTACAGTCAGGGAAGCCAGGCATGGTGAGACACACCTGTAATCTCGGCACTCAGGAGGCTGAGGCAGGAGGACCAACCTGAGTTTGAGGTCAGCCAGGGCTACATAGTGAGTTCAAGGCCAGACTGAACTATATAAGAAGACCCTGTCTCTCAAAAAATAAGTTACAGTTATGGACTCTGAGACCCAAAGAGAGGAAAAGATGTGCCTCAAATCTCCAGGGCTATTGGGCTCATTCAGAGGGCCACGTGAGAGTAAGGCCCTCTCTAGCACCCTCAAGTCCAGAGATCTTAGGTAAGCATACAGGGGAAGCTCCAGAAATTTGAAAGCAGTTTCTGTTAATTTGGCTAGAACTGGCCAGAAGAGTCAAAAGTCCTGTTTACTCAATGGCTGGTTGATGAATAATGTAACCTCCTAATAGCTCAAAATACTTTCAGACCAGAGCAGAACCTTGGAGAATTCTCTATTAGTCATAAACCAAGGTGAGGGAGGAGTATGAGGATGTAAAACAAGCAAACTCTCTCAGATGAAATTGGCTTTATTATAATTGTTCTAAGTACTACGGTACCCTCTACTAATATACATAACACAGAAAGCATAAAGAAGAAAAGTAAGAATCACCTGCAGCCAATCCTACCACCTGGAAACAGCAGCCATCTATTGGGCCAATGTCCCCAAACTTTAAGATAACATATGAAGTGGTGACAAAGCATATTGTGCATGCTGTTTCCTGCCTTACACTTTTATCAGTAAGGTGTGCTGTCATATTGATTAGCTTTTTTTTTTTTTTTTTTTTATGACTACGACCAAATACCTGATACTGCAACTTAAAGGCTTATTCTGGCTCATGGTTCAGAGGTTCAGTCCATGGTTGGTTGGCTCCAAGGAAAAAGCAGCATGGTAGAAGAGAATAGTGGAGTAATGCTGCTCAGTTCGGAGAATCTTGGGAGCAGAGAGGAGGGTCCAGGGACCAGATGTAGTCCCCCAAGCCCAGCCCCACAACTCATTCCCAACACACCCAGAAGTGTGTTTATTTATTTCTGATGTGTTTTGAGACACAGTCTAGTTATGTAGTCCAAGCTAGCCTGGATTATCTTTGTAACCCAACATAGCTTCAAACTGACAATTCTCCTGCCTCAGCTGGGATGCAGGCAGGTGCCACCACACCCAGCTAGAAGTGTGCTTTACTAATCTCCTGTGCCTCTCTCAAGCCAATCACGTTGACAAGAGTGTCACATGTGTGTGTACTTTCAAAATCAACATGGAACAATGGACTCCAGTTTATATAGGATGCCTTGTAGATGGATGTAGCAACTTTTGAAAGTCACCTCTATGGCTTAATTTACCTGTTTTTCCTCATTTTTGGTATTAAAAACAACTATCCTCAAATGTGTTCATTTATTTACATATTTATTTTTGGCATTGGGATTGAACTCAGGATCTTACGCTTTCAAGGCAGGCAGCAACTGCTGAGCTACATCTCCAGCCTTTGACTAGCCTTGCTACTTAATTCTTTATAAAATGCTTATTCCCTTCCCCCACTTTATATTGGAATGTGCTGGTTAATTGTCTTTTCTTTCTTTTTTTTTTCTTTTGGTACTGGGGATCGAACTCAGGCCCTTGCACTTGTGAGACAGGCAGCAGCACCACTGAGCTAAATCCCCAGCCCCAAATTTCCCTTTTTTGTTTTCATTTTATCAGTACACTTTAGATTTACATAACAATCACATTCATCATAGAGAATTTGTACCTTTAAATGATGTATCTAGATTCCTTTTTTTTTCCTATGAATTTCTCACTTTTGTTGTTGTTGACAGGGTTTCTCTACACCATTCAGGCTGCCCGTGAACTCACTGTGTAGCCCAGGTTGGCCTGGAACTCGGGGACCCTCCTTCCTCAGCCTCCTGAGTGCTGGGAATACAGGAGTGTGCCACCATATCCAGTCTTTCTTACTAATTTGACAGAACTCTTTATATATTTACAAGGCTTATCCCCTTGTTGCAATTATGTTCCCTAATTTCTGTCAAAGGCTTTAATTTTTTGTAGTGAAATCTGCTTACTTATTTTCTCCCTTTATGTTTCTATCGTTAATGCTATGTGTAGACACCTTGCTTGAACTGCTTCCCACCATATATGTATACATACTTGATGTTGTTTTGGTGTTTTTTAAGACAGGGTCTTGTTATGTAGCTCAGGCTGGCCTTGAACTCACTATGTAGCCCAGGCTGTCATGGCAAGCCTCCTGCCTCAGTTTCCCTGAGTGCTAGGATTACAATTATTCCCCACCCGGCTCCTCCTCCTTCTGTATTGTAAGTTACTCACAGATTTTTCTCAAAACCT